TTAGAACCTGTCACTAGCAGAGCAGTGTTGATGTTGTAATGTGAATACTGTTGAATAATACGATTTATAAATGCTCCACGTGTCTGTCTACTTCCTCAGATATCTCTCCACATGTTAGCATTTCCAGATAGATTTTACTACCAATGTGAAACAAAGTTATTTAGTTCATATTGTACTGTTTGAGCTCATATGAGTTCCAATCACAGTCTGTGTATAAAGATGGATGACATGTCTCCACTATCCAGAAATGGAGCCAAAATTTCCCAGATTCAAACACTGCCATCTTGCACATTTATTACAAGAGTCTGTAAAACGATTTCTGTTTGTGTAGCGTTAGCCAGAGCTAGCTAAAATGTAAGCAATTTGGCAATATTTCACACTGGAAAGTAAAGGTTTTAAGCATGTAATATTGTAGATTTACTAATATTCTTTTGCAATTATAACTGTTAAACTAGATAATAAAATAAGGTCCATGGCATTCATTCTCTATATATATTCGCGTTTCAAAGGATATTGGTTGATAAGCAAACACCGGGAATCGGTGTTAGTATCACATCCACTAAAATAGTGGAGGCGGGGTTTATGACCTATAACTTAGTCAGCCACTGGAGGGCAATCAAGGCACTTTCGCTTCACTTTAGGGGAGCAGTCATATTGTCCATCTTCATTTCATCACTATGGTACCAATTCAAACGGATACATATTTTCAGCTTACATGTACTCGCTATACTTGCTTTATTCAAGTATCTCTTCCAGTCTCATTGGTACATAATCAGTCAACTTGAAAGATAAAGCCAATCATAAAATACAGCAAAGCTCTACTGTATGCCATAAGCTTATTTAATTGTAGCTCGAACTATATGTGCTGATGGCTTTGTAATTAATAACATTACTCCAACAATTTTCTGCTTGGCTGAATCCTGTAGTTATAATTAACCGTCACACAAGATTTGTTGCCAAGTGAAATAAAGTAACACCTTTCTACACACTGTTAAGAGAGGGTTGAGTGCCAACAAAAACAGACCACTTCCTACCTTTTTACTCACTATCTGTCTGAATCAAGAAAGAAAACACTTGAGACTTTAAACAGATTGCCTTTATCTACAATTCTTTGTTGCGCACCATATGCTACACATTTGCATCATAGGTTCTATATAAACATGACAAGAAAGCTTTCTAAAAGTGAAGCCCAGGTGTCTCAATCGCTCTCTAGTGGCAGCCTGCAGTGCATGTCATAAACCCTGCCTCTTCCATGGGACATGGGTCATACTAAAAAGTAAAAATGCACACCAAACTAATTTTCTCAATGTTTGGTTTTGTTTAGGGTCGTTCATATCACAGGTATTCAGTTTTCCAGTAAGTTTGGTTTAAGTGAGTTATTTGAAACAGAGTGAAATGTCATTTTTGACAGCCTAAACTGACAGGTTTGTTTGAATTAGTCATTGGCGCAGTGGGAGGAAGTGGAGATATGTCCATCTTTATATATAGTCTATGTTATATGAACATTAATGAAATATTGCAAGTGGAAGCGAGAATACCTAAAATGTTTTATGTAAACTAAATTATTTCAGTACCTTTCTCCTGCTCTTCTCTGCTTTTCATCCTGAGCCAGGTATAGGCTTGAGTATTAATTTGTACAATGATGGTTCGCTGGAGGTGTAAGTCTTTATTGATAACATTTTTAAATATAGAAATACAATAACATCAAGTTAATTCTTTAAGATCTTTGAAGTATCTGTCTTTAATAATTTAGCTGCAGAGGATTTGACAAAGTGACTATGTTCTACATAGATTAAGAGTAATCCTCCAGCTAATCTTGTTTTCATTGAAGCTGCCTTCTCTTTGAAGTGTTCCTTGTCTGATCAGTTTAGCCTCAGCCTTTGGATTTTACCAGTGGGTGTGTAAAATATCAGTAGACATCCTTTTCCTCCAACCACTGGGTAAAGTAAAAGTATGCGATAAGTGGGTGCTGGATTCATACAACATCAACATATTGCCCTAGAGTAGAGACATGATATCTAATATTGTGTCATCCACGTTGTAACATGTTTCTGCTCATTTTTTGCTCTATGTCATGATCTTTCCAACTATCTCAGATCTTCACCTATTCAACTTCCACCTCACTCATCTTTCTCTCTCAATCTGTGCCTTTCTTAGGTCTGGCTTTGAGAACTCAGTGGAAAATAAGCATGCATTAGGATAAAGCCTAGTGAGGCATGACAGGGGATCACCACTCACCACTGGTCACATCTGCACATAGATCAACATGACCTGTGCAGACAATTCACATTCCACATGCAATCTTTGAATTAGCTGTTCTCCCTGAGGTCACCAAGCATAGTTACATTTGAAAAAGCATCTATTCCCTTCCATTTTTGTAAGCCTGTGTAAATCTTAAAATATCAGTCTACAAGATTATTCCTGAAAAAGATTGAGGGTCTTATCACCAAATCATAAAACAACTCAACCTTGTTATTGACCAGAGGTAGACGGGAAAAAAAGTCTCTTATCTATTGTTTTAGGATCTCAGTAGAAAGATGTCTTGAAAGACTGCTTGGAAATATTAATTTGACATCCAAATAATTAACTTAACTATGGCAGTTGTGTTCTTTGTGCAGGATTATGCAAAAACGAACTGTTTGATTTGCCCCAGAACTGCATGGACAGGTCACATGTCAGGGTAAAACCATTATATTTTCTTCCTGATCAGGTTAATTTTTTTACTCACTTTACAAGAATTTTTGACCCTTTGGTCAGTTTCTCAGGAATTAATGTTAATCATATATATTAAGGATTGTTTAGCTGCGCAGATTTATGTGCTGCACTGAGTGCCAGTATAGTTTTTACATATACTAAGTAAATGGTATTTTCAGATTTAGCAACCTCAGTTTGACCATGGCCTAATTACCCCCAGTCCTGTAATCCCTATTAAGTTCTCACCAGGAAATGAAAGAAGGAAGTTAGCTGTTTAAAACCAGAGCCCTCTGACCTCACACAGGTTTCCTTTCATTTGAAATGTTATAGTTGGACTGATTGACCAGTGAGTAATGATGATCGAGAAGTAAAGATGGAGGAGAGATGCAGTTAACTGTAGACACCGATGATTGTGTCTTTGTCAAGCAAGAGTGTTATATATTCTGATATCATTATGGGTAACAAATAAGCTGTAATACGAACACAACAATTGAAAACAAAACAACACTACTGTTTAAGAGTACTACTACTACTACTGCTATAGAAGCAGTTACTGTATACAGAGATGGACAAAGCATCTCCACTTCATCCCAGTAAAAACAGTTTTGATGTGTATTTCAACTTTTATTTTGGTCCATTTGCCATTTTTTAAAATCCAGATGAAAAGGGGTTTATAACCTGTACTGCAACCAGCCACCTCACTTTTGGGAAGCTGTAATGTCGTCCATCTTTGTATGCAGTCTGTGGTCTCTATATACTCTATACTTAAGCAAAGATCTCTCGAAAAGATTGTGCCATTCTAAGTTGTGGTTGTGAGATAAATATTTCAACGTGTGTGGAAAACGTTGACCTGCTGCTGTTGCAGACAGAAAAGTTAAGAGATCACATCAGAGATATTTCAGTCTAGACCAAAGTCGTGAATCGACTGACCAACCAACCAACCACCCACTAAACATCATCGTCATCCAGGGGAAAACAAAGCCAGAGATTTGGACTGAGATCCCTTAAGCCCTTTTATAACTACATTAGACTCAATTTGAGGCTGTCAATTCAAAACATCAAATGTTAATTTTTAAGTGACAAAGAGGGTCAAGTAGTTAACGAGTTGCATGAAGACTATTATTCAATTCCACAATAATGAGAAGGCCAAGCACTGAGAAATAAACACATACATGCTCACTAACACATAAACCACTCCAAATATGCACACAAATTCACACACAAATATAAACAAGACTTGTTTGCAATGATACAGGATCCTTGACTTGCTAATACAGACATAAAATGATTGTGTTTGGTGGATATGGGTCAGTTATTCAGCATATCATCAATGGGCTCTTCCTCCTCAGGCTGTAAAAACACTTGAATTATCAAGTGTGTCCAACAACATGACTACACACGTGTGTGTAAACCTGTTTGTCATTACTTATTAGCTGCAATCTGTATCTAATCACATGACATTGTTACTTACAGGTCAAAGCCATGGTCACTTGACAGAATTCCTCAGTAGAATTGCACCAGCAGTTCAGACAAAATGGCCCTTGATCCTTTCTCAGTCAATGGCAGCCACATAGGACACAGAGCACATTTCATCCAAAAAGTCAATCAATAAAAACAATAAAACTGTTCAACAACAGTCACACACATTACATCTCTAACATTAGCAGACGTACACTCACTCACACACTGTTGAGGTGTGATATGAAGAAGTAATAAGATATATCACGTCTTCTTTTTAAATTGTTAATTTGTCTCTAATTAGCTAACTTACTATTCACTGTGAAAAAGAGTTTTTTAAAAACTGTTTGCAATGCAGATCTCATAGATGACGTACCGTGTTGGTCGTTTAAGTTACACGAAGCAGATATGAGCAGAATCTGAAATTGTATATTTTTAAGCTCTCCATCAATTATTAAGGTCTCATTTATAATGCTGAAATCAGCATTAGTTTACTGACAAGGAGTGTATTTGTGCAACACTGTACAACTTTGATATCGTAATATATCATGTGACCTATTCTGGCCTGGCATTCATGGTCTAACTTGTTTTCATCTCTCTTTTATGAAAGGGGAACTCCAGGAAAGTACTTGTTTTATCACTCTGATTAAGCACAAATAATCAGATCATCAAGATGTGCTTTTTGCTTTGACAGATCAACTTTTATAGAGCAAAGGTATCAAGCATTCCACAAATTTAAGGAAATATTATCTCATAACAGTTTTCTAGTGTCTACTGCAATATTTATAAAATGTTATGTATTTTAATTGAATTGCCTTTCTTAAAGCAAACCTATGTAACTCTAAATGTGCAACAGTGCCCTCTACAGCAACACGTGGTGATCTAATTCCAATGATCTCTACTTCCTGAACCAGAGGAGCTGACGCTGTAACAATTACACCACACTTAGAGACTGTACTCATTCACCAAAGTTACAAAGAGCAAGAACAGGCATTCAGGGTGACGAGCATGAATAAACGAGACACAAAATCAAGTCAGTGAAGCATCAAATTTTGAAGCAGCTATTTTAAGGTAAAGAAAAGCTAGCTTTAACTCTCATCAATAGTAACACATTTTGGTCTAGCAAAATTAATGAACTCCCACTTGATGCCACTAATTAGGGAAGCGTCTCGGTTTGGTGAAATCCTCAGGAGCATTAAAGCAGCAGACTAACTAAAAAGATCAAAGTTATCCAAGCTTCCTAACTGAAGTTAGACCAGGAGGAAATGCCTGCAGCTCACCGTCGCCCAGTGAATAAATTAAAAATGATCAAGTCAGACCAGAGGTCGGCACCCTCTAGGAACTGAAAAATCCCAGAAGTCTATACAAGATTGCTAAAAAAAATAAATAAACATTTTTAATTTTCGTATGTTTTGAGTGGCAGGTAAGGCAGGACCACATTACAGCTTGGGGTGTGTACCCTCTGGTAGAGGGCAGATATGACTGCCAGGCAAAGTTAAAGGTGAAGGTACAGAAGATTAGCTCCCTCCTTGAGTTCATGTTAGAAGAAGAAGTCATGTCAAATAAATTCTTCTCTTCTCAAAGATGGTCTCTGTCATTTTATGTAGTTACACATTCCAGTGAGTTATACATTTTGATAAGTTATTTGATGGAATAAAGATGTGGTAAAACGTCATGATTGTGAGCTGAGAATGACTCCTGATTGGTCGAGTGCTTGTATCGACCGGACCTTGCTACCGCGGCTCCATCCCCCGGATCGCTACTGTGCAGACTCTGGCTCCGAATGTGCAAGAGGGCAGCGTTAGTATCTGCACAATTTAGCTTGATTTACAGATAGTGGGAGCAAGTGGTATACAGTTTATGTGATGTCTTATAATGTCAAACTATGTTAAATCACTCGTAATGTTCAAAATCAAACTTGAGAGAGATACTTGACAGGGTAAGTAACAAAAAAAACTACTTGAATCAGTAAGTTTACATATGAGACATTCAGAAGATTCAAGGACATGAATGTGTCTATAGCTATGCTTTTTATATATCTGACAGCTGTGACTGCCAGTAGAACCTGATACAGCGTGGCAGGACAGAAGAAAGTGTGTTACCAGTCACCTTCTGCTACCACATGCTTTCCTAATATTGATCTGACCTCCAGCAGTAATTGGATCTACAGGAAGATGTTATGGTCTGCGCTGTTGTCTCAGATAAACTGAGCACTGAGTAAACCTGAGCACCTCACAGGGAAAAGTGACAGCACATACTGTAGCTGTGCTACAAAATACTGTGCAAGTACCCAAAAAGCCAAATTAATGTTGGAAATATCTGGGCCCAGAGTTCCTCATTGCAAAGACCGAGAAAGCCACAGCAGACATAACAGGAGGCTCCTATATCCTGTACTAAAAACTAAAAAAACTAGCAGGATTTATACAAGGTGGAGACCAAGCAGAAAGATCACAGAGGTCGGGAGAAAGTAAAACAACTCAATGAGGAAATCCCCTAAACTCAAACCCCTACAAAATCCATCTGAAAGTCAGCGACCGCTCCAAAATAACCCAAGAGCACCCAAATTATAGTATATGTATGTTGGAAAGTCCTATAAGTCAGCAGACTTAACTGAATACCTAGAGAAGTGTGTTGTTCAGTGCTTTCTGCCACAATCACCCACAATACCAAACTGTCTATTAGAAGAATGTTGTTCATCCCTCCAGTATTTTTCCATAGACACATATGGAAGCTGGGCCTCAGGGTTTTATTAAGTTTAACAAAGTGGACCACACAACACCATTCCTCCCATTTTTATCATTCTAGCTATATGTTTGTTTTCTGTTTGTTCAGCCAGTACAACTTCTTCATATTACCAGCACAAATGATCCCAGGTTCATTTATTTTTAATACGACATTGTGTCGCAGTTACTAAGTAAAAAATAAAAAAACCTAAGCCAAATAGTGTTCAAATTCATTTGTCATGAAGAGTTATTCATTTTCTTAATATTCACTTACCTGAAGACCATGCTGCTCCAGGAGGTGAAAGTGGGCGTTGACTAAACGCTTCCTTGTTGCTGACATCATTGATGATGTCTTGGGTTAAACCATTAACGGGGGTCTTTGGTATAGTATGTTAATATGATTAGGTTTAGATTATGATAATTCTTTACAAAATGAAATTATTTTCCATCAGGTGCAGTTTTATTTTCTCTGCATATACTGACATAGCGATAAAATTAACATTGATCTGTTTTAGTTTAGAGTCAGACACCCCTGAGAGAAAAATGATTCTTCCTGAGGTGAGGGTCCAATTGATTGGAGGGACTATTTATAGGATGAGTTGAGGATGAAAAGCCACTTTTTTCTATGGCCTTTGGTGTCATCAGGCAGATAAAGGTTATGTTTAAGCAATGTCATGTTTCTTTGTCATTTTAACATCTTAGGGCCATGTTGGAAATCAATGTTTTAACTTCCCTTGCATATTTGTGTCTGATAATCCTGTTATTATTTCAGTCCTTGGTTTGTAAGCATTGTAATCAAAGTCATCATCAATCAAGTATTAAGTCAGTGTTGACTGAAGACACCAACCAAGCTAATTGCTTCTGTTGGTTAACTTTCAATCTAGAGTAAACAACAATTACAAAAAACTGGAGCATCCTTGTGTAATGTGGAACATCATGATATAACGCCACCATGTGCCTGTTCTAAATTTGGCATGTGTGGACATTTTATTACAGAAAGTTGTCGGGAAGGACTTTGATATGAGACTCTGCTGACATGAAAGACCATCACAGAGATTAAGACATGGATGCACAGCAGAAAATCAAAAACCAAATCTGGGAACAGATATCTGATGAATGTTCTTTTCACAGTTTTTATATTAGATCCTTGTGTTCTGAACTGGCAGGGGAATGAATCCCTCCTGTAAAGCTGATTAATGACAACACAGCAGCCATTATGAGTGCATGGCTGTATGATTCATATAAAACTCATTCGAATATAGAGACATTAGAGGGAGGAGGAGAGAGGGAGGTATAGAGGGGCTGGAGAGAGAGAGGGAGAGAGAAAGGTTGAGAGGGGGTGGGTGGGGGAACACAGAGACAGAGAGAGAGAGAGAGAGTGAGCGAGGCAGACAGGGGTTGAGGAGACAGACAGAGAGAGGAGCAGAGTAAAGACAAGACTCTCTCTCCCTCTCTTTCTGTGGGTATTGTTTTATTGAAGTCTGTCCATCTGCGGAGTCTTTGCGCGGCTTCGGAGCGGAGACGTCTCTTTACGCACCGCCTCTCAGCGGCACACACACACAGCGACATGCGGGAGATCCCGGTGTGATCCGCTCCAGTCCGCCTCTGGGTGAAGCGTGAAGTGGGCTTGAAATGAACTCTGAAGGTGCAAGTCGTTGTCAGAGCATTCACGATAAGAGCCGCCGCTTCTCCTCCTCTCCCATCCGCGTCAGAAGTTTGACCGCGGCCGGCTGACCCGAGGTTACACCTGCGTTCTCCGATTGGCTGTTCGCCCCCCTGGACCTTCAGGTTATCGTGGTGGATGTTGGACGGGACAGTGAGGTAAGTTGGTGTGTTTACCTGACAAACATCCCGGTGGGTAGTGACTCCGGATTTATGACTCATTGATTCAAGCAGTCAGCTGTTTCTCGGTCTATTTTGTAATATAATTATTTTGTCACAATCTGATGTTGTTGCAATTATTTGTTGTTCAGTTGATAAGATGCTCCTCTTTTAAAGGGCCATTTTGTCTTTGTTCCGACGAACTTTACCAGAGCTGTTTCATGAAGTGTGGAACTCCAGGTTTACTGGATAGATTGTAAGATGTCAGTGGGAATTTGTGGCACCTGTTCTTGTACCTGCAGGACATGACTTTATATTTGCCTGTAGAAATGCTAAGACTGCTTAATAAAGGTCTTGTTAATGACCTCAAAATGCATCTTAACCATCAACCACTCTTTGTTTTCCCATCTGTTCCCATAATATACACACACACAGTGATATTTGTCAGTTCCTACCTTGAAACTTGGGTCTTGACACCTTAATGGTATGTGTTCACAGAACCAAACCACAATAGTTAGTCATTGCAATCGTTAATATCTGGCCGCTGTTGTATGATAGCATTTTCATGTCCATCAGCCCATCAGTGCTGTGTATTTATATTGTTGCTGTTCAATGATGTATACAGTTTACAAAGTGTTATTCAGTTGTCCATTCAATGGGACCGTAGGCTAATTTGTAATAGGGAATGGTCCAACTAAGTAACTAGCTAACTAACTAACGTACTTACTTACTAACTAACTAATAGTGTAATAGTCAATACGTCAGACTATAGGAATTAGCTCTTATGCTGGACTCACACCTATGCGTTGCATTAACACTTGGTGGTTGACGTGCCCAGAGCTTGGTGCTGGAACAATCATTGTAGGGACAACATGCACAGTTCCATACTTTGGACACACAACATAGCTTTAAAGCTAATGTGCCATGTTAGCTATGAATGTTATGCTAAGTAGAAGTACACAGGAAATAAAATCCACAACCAGATGAACACACACCTGATTAGCCACCTGCTTCTGCTGCCTCTTTCGTTTTAACACAACTTGGTTTGCTAGGGTCTATGCTTGAGTGTTTGATTGGCTGGTGCTTCCAGTGTAGAATGAAAAGTTGAGGTTTGCTCAACTTCTGCCATTTACAGCGAGACCAACGTGATGCAACAGAGCCATAATCCAGTTTTGGAATGAATGACACTCCATTCAAGGTGAATGAGCAGCATTTCGGTTGAACAACTTACATGTGAATCCTCTGTTACATTTACCTGAACATAGTGCTACACCCATCAGTGCTTAAACAAATAAGCATGGATAATTATCATCTGTCATCAGCTGTACGTTTACCATCAGCAGCACTGAGATATAACTGAAATGGTGTTTCAACAATAGCAAAGTGGAGCTGAAGTAGGAGGTTCATCATCTAATCAATTCTTCTCAGGTAACCAAACTTAAACCCAACCGTTTTCAAACTCCAACCACAAATCTAAACCATCATCTTTCAGCCTTTAAACCCAAACATCCAGGCAGGGGTCAGTCATTGTCAGAGCATGGATACCTGTGGACTTTATGTTGACAGTGGTTACTAAAGTATTATTGTTTCTATAGCTCTGGTCTGCACCTCCTATTTCTCATTAAATCCAATTGGCAACACTGAAGATCATGAACATTTACAGCTTCTTCTCGCCATTATACAAATTCAACAGGGAGTAATATCCCCAAATCCAAAGTTATATACTACAGGAATCTACAGCCTATATAGTGTGGAGAAAGAATGAGAATAATGTAGTATTTCTCTTATGGATATTTATTTTATAAGCAAGACATGAGAAAGGAGGCTGGAGAGGTGAAGGGAGTGTGCAGTTCAAACACTTAGCTCATCAGTCACTTCTCTGAGTGAGTGAAGTGCTGGAGATACTTGATATGATGATACTGATTTTAAAATGGTATCTTGTGCTATTTTCCTGTCTTTATAGAGAAAGAGGAGTAATATGGTGACAATATCTATCACTGCTTCAATATGCTCGTTCTATCTGGATGTGATTACAAGTGGCCTTTAAGGCTGCTGCCATTCAAAGCTGAGACTTTTCTTTCTGAGTTCAGTTTTCAGGAATCATTGCAAACTTACTCTGCGTTAGCATCGTTTCTGCAGTGTCTTAAAAAGTCTACAAAAACTTAAATATTCAATCGACAGAATTTTAATCCTTGAAAAGACTTAAATACATTAAAATATAATGTGGTAAAATAGTATGGCCTTTTCCATCACGCTTCAAAATGAGTGTTTTTTTCAGTGGCATGCACAGTCACCATGTGTTGTGGTTCTTTCTCGATGATATTTGATATTAGTATGCTGTGATAAAACTACAAATAAGACCTTTGTTTTGGCCTCTTTTTGTAAAGTAGCCTATATGCTTGTGGCTTTTTGTTTTCTTGATATGGGTAGTATATATTGTGAAAAGATTATACAATATAAAACTACGATAAAACCAGTATGGGACTAGAAACTCACATTTCTTCTTATATGTCATACTTGACATATATCTTCAATTTCATTCATTATGGTCTTAAAAAGTGTGAATTTTGGGTCAGATTCACAGAAGCTTTCGTCATCTTCAGACAGTAACTTACTAAGAACTGCTTTATCTCAATTCTTAAAAAGATGAATTTGTAATAATGAAGGGAGCAAAGCAAAATGAATGCTTGGGATCGGCTATTTATTCTTTGGAAACAATTTAACCATGAAGAGAGGACTCTCTGCCCTTCTCTTTCTTATTTCCAAGGGTAAAGGTTAAAGATAGTTTAAATTAGGTACAGCAGAAATAATGTATCTTATTTTAAAACCTGCTGCCTCTGTAGACCACTGCTTCATATTAGTCTTCTTAAAGCTGCTATCGGTCTAATTCCTTGAATGTAGGTCAAACCTGTTGCGATTAGCCAGCTCCTCTGGTCTGCTCTGGTCCTGAACACAGAAAAATCATTCAGGGGAAAAAATTGCGAACATGTTTGTTACATGCGGCACTAGTGGCATTTTCACTGATAGAAATGGTGATGGTATTGTGTCAGTGTTCTTTGCTGCATAGCAATCACTAAGTCGCTCCCCTGGAGCAATTACATTCACTGTTTCACATGACCACTGGAAATGGACCAAGGGGGGAGGAGAGGGCAGTATGTGAGATAGGCAAGACAAATGTGTGGAGTTAAAAAGACTTTATAGACCGGGAAAGGCAGGGGTCAGAAAAAGAATGATGAGATGAAAGGAAACTTAAAGACGGAGGTAAAATCTGCTGGTATAAGACCTGTTTTTGCTTTTTCTACAATTGACTGGAACATTACAGATCTTGCATAATGTGGGAGTTCAAACAATTCTTTCAATACAAAAATGTCAAAATCTAAATTTACAACAACTGCAAATGATCAGCCGTCATTGGCAGACAACAGTGACTAACTAAAACCTCCCTGCAGCTTTTCTGGTGGATAATAGATTGTAATCAGTTATACGGCCAAATTTGTGTCACAAAGATTTACATTTAATTACTTTTATGCAAACTTTAAATCACAAAGATTCAATGCAAATATAAAAAAATCTATTCAGATGTTACTAGAAGTGTTGATTGTGCATCAGCTATCGAGACAAACAAGACAAGGAGCTATAAAACCTGTGAATTGTTAGCATATGTGAGTTTTATATGCAGTCATTCTTGTCTTTGTTCAAGCAACTCAGTTGACCAAGATGCCAAGAGAGCTCGGCCGAGAGCGGTACAATCATGCTTTGGCCTTGCTCACAAGCTCTGCACAGATACTGCATAGATTGGCTCAGGAATGTGCTGCTTTTATCAGTTTTGCACAACACTGAAGTGGATAATGCCAATCACAAAATGTTATAATTAAGTGTATGGATGATATAGGAAAGCTCAAGTCCATCTTCCTGTAATAATGTGTTGAACAATTGCACCTATGTTAAAACTAGGGTTGGTAATCCTTGAAAAGCTAACAAGAGCAGGCTACACCAATACATTCCTCCCATCGACCCTCTCGTCAAAGCTACACACTCAAAACACATGAACGTCCACTGCTGGACAACAGCTAGAAGCCAACTTTTCTGTAAATTGCTAGCTAACTTCTGACAATTGTCTCTATTCTGGCGCTGTATGCCTCCCCGGCTGAAGACTCATGTGCAGGGAGAGCTCGGGCAGGGTGTGAGCAGGCAGGCAGGTTGGTTAGTTAGAGACAGGTACACCAGCCAATCTTTTATTTTGGTCTAAATGAAATGATTGTTGTTGGTTGAATCCAAAGTTTTTCTAAACTGGCTGTAGTAACTGAAGTTCATCTCAGCAAATCAAAGCGTTCTTTTTTTCAGTGGTTCATGTATATGAATATGTATATACATTCAGAGCATTGAGGTTCTCAAGCTTAAGAGTTTACCACGCTTCACGACCACAGTTTATGCCTCATTTAATTTGGTCACATGATGCCAGTTACTGGCAGAACAATACAATGTAGTGCTGATAAGTAGGAATGTTTAGCTCAGAGTTTTTGACACTGGTGTGTAAATGGTTAACTGAAAACAACCATCTGTTGTTCTGAAAAAAGCAATCACTTGCGTCACTTCCACATTGACTTTTTAGTTGTGACTTGAGACTGAAGAGCTCCAGAACAAATACAGGGACACATTGTTTGGTGGTTTTGTGTCTCCTTTCTCCTCTGCCGACTGCTGTAGACATGTTTCTGTTTTTTTGCCAAAGATGAGAAGTGGGTCACATGCTTGAATTATCCATTTGCAGGGTTGCATGCATCAGTGCCAAGAAATTGCATTACGTGGGAGACTTCTGTTAAGAAGACACGGAGACATTTCTGGAGGATGGAGTCTAGAGCTGAGCATGGACGCACGCAAGAGAATGGACGGTCCTCTCCCTGCACCAGCCTGAAGGTACACAATCCAACATGTTGTGATGGTTTCGACTCTGTACATTTAACTTTTATTTACTTTTGTTGGTAAGGTACTTTTTTCGTATTCATAAATATGTCAAATTCCGCAAAGGATTCTAGATAAACAAGTCTTATGGCAACAACTAAATATTTTCATACATTTTAAACATTTCCCCATAAAACAAACCTTGTCCAAAGAACCTCATATTAAACATTGAAATTAAGTTAAAAAAAGACAAACAAAAGCTGCTCTAAGTTCAGAAAACGCATCACTTTCCTTATAGTGTCTACTGCTGCAGCTCCTCTTTTCAGCCTCTGTCTGAAATGTTTGGTTTTAGCTACTGTCTCTTAGAGGCCCCACTCAAACTAAAGACCAGTCTGCGCTGATTGGCCAGCTGGCCTGTTTTGTTGTGACTGGTCAACCACTACCAGCGTATGTAGGAAATCTCGACCAGTGTAGAATAGTGTGAATGATGCAAATGTGAGATACTTTGATGTCAATTGACATCATTATACCCTGGAAGTATCAGCTGGGCTACTGACAAGTTGTTTTAGGAGCTTCCGGAGCAGTGTTTTCTGTGGGGGCGAGGAGCTCCCTTAACCATGGACTCTGGGAAAATGTATATTATTCATAGAAATGTGATCAATTCATATTAACTTGGAAATTCATATTTGAGAACCCAATCTTAAATAAACTATAATATTAATTTAAAACATTCTATTGTGGTGTATCACATTTAATTAAATGATTCAATTCAACCAACAGCCGCAAAAATAATTTACCATTCTGTTGGGGCTCACTCAACAAACAGTACTTGCAGGTGAGAGACCCATCATTGATCCCGCCATTGTCCTCTCCAGATGTTTGGTGAAACCAATTGCTGCAGACCACAGGACAGACTCTTCTGTGCTTTTTGAATCACCTCTATCCTAAAGAGCAAACTGATTATGTGCTAGTTAGCTAACAAGACAATCAGTTTAAACAGACAGGGACAGACTGTATTTACCATTAACTCCTGTCTTACAACTGCAGATCATATTATACAATAAGTTAATGTTACGTTAAAGTTAAGTTTATCTTTGATTTACTTCAGGAAGTCACTGAATGCATATTTCCCCCATTTAGAGAACTTTAATGAATTTTCCGGATTACCCAAACCATGATGTCCCACATTATCAATAATATTTGGTAAGTGGGACAGCTAAAAAATTTTTGAAAAAAAAGAACAAATAACACATTTTCAACAACTCAATGCAAATTTAGTTGTAGACATATGTCTCCTTGAAAGTGCATGATAGTAGGCGGATTTTGTAGTTGTCTCTATGTGGCTATTGAAATTTAGGACACAGTGCAGAACAGTCTTAGCTCAAGTCATGCGCTTATTCAATAAATGAATCTTATATTTTTATATTTTTAATGAACTGATTCTAGTAATCCAGGACCCTGTAAAGATCTGCTTTTATCATTGCTAGATAAATGGAAGGGGGTTGAAGGGTGGCGCGAACCAGAAATAAAAACAGTAAGGACAATGAGCAAGCACCACAAGGCAGGTAAATCCTGGGGAGTCATATGCCCAATTAGTGTGTATGCTGAAGTGAAAGTAGCTGTGTGTGTATAGATCAGCACTAACTAAATAACAAGATTACAGCCCTACAAGTCAACAAGTGAACTTTGTGTGTGTCTATGAGGAACAATGTACTTCTTGTACCCATGACCTCTCTATCTGAATGTAAAGACATTAGTCCAATGATGAACTGAATCATGCTTCTGTACTTCTATTCATCCTTTCTCATCAGTTAAACTTCAATTATGTCAGTCCCTTCAGTGTCAGTGGTTCATGAGTACACGACAAGATAGAATCAGGTAGCAAACACTCATCATCATATAAGGGTACTGCTTTTAGGTATGAGCCCCCTTTTCCTGGAATTTGTCAGGGACAAGTCATGGCTGCACAGTGCTGATGCTTCCTTCCTTCCTTTTGATCACAAACAAAACTCAACAGATCAACTCTCCATTTAGTCAAAATGTGACACAAGTAAACTTTGGCATCTTGCATGTTCTACTTTGAAAGAAAAGGCTCTAGGAAAGCAAATTACAATATCCTCACTGCTTTTATCAAGGACAGGACAGACCAAGGGAAATACAAAGAAAGGTAGACTTAGAGCTGCAATAGCTGCAATGCTGTACTCATAAGTTACAGGTTGTCTAGTGTTCCCATGTGGCATGGTGGCAAATCTTTATGCTCCACACCTTGGCCATTCACCAGTAATGAAGAGGGGGTGCAGTACAAGCTATATTCTTTTGGAGATCATGTAATCATCAAAAGACAGCTTCATACTCCCTTTCTCATGAAGCAGACCCGTGGTAGCAACAAGCTAAAGGAGAGCCACACTACCCAACAAATTATTTTCCATTATGTTCTGATTTGCACATCAACCTTTCATGTCCTCATGATGTTTCATCCATTGGACGGAGTAGGGAGAGCAGCTAGGATTGGCACACACAGGGACAGCCATCCATTCAATGCTTACAAATATTGCACGTTGGACTGTGTCTTGAAACCAACTTCAACTTCCTTTATAGATTCACGTCTGCATCTCCTGCATGTAACATGTTCAGCATCAATACACATGCACACAGACACAGTCTGTTGCAGACTTGCAGGTTTCATTTGCAAAAGTAATCTACCTTGTTCTGAAATCTTGACTGGCCTTTCACGCCGTCACGGTTGCAAACTCGACATTGGACGATGGGAGGGAGGGGAGGGGCTTAGCAAAGAGTCAACTGGCTGAAACCACGTCCTCTGCCAAAAACATAAAAGTTAGCAAAGCCCTAAATGAGATCAGACACCATTGTTGCCTTTTCCACATGAAAGTGACATTAGACAATGGTGCTCAAGCAGCTTATCATAATACAGACTGCAGTGCCCGGACAGACTTTTGTTTCTTCTCAGAATTGTTTGGTTCCCTGACCGGCTGGGTGGGCCATGACACAGCCTGTTTCGACTCTAATCCGGTACTCAATGTTATTCTCTGCTTTTTGTTAATTCCATCATTATGACTAGAACTTGGGTGCAACAATGACCCTGTGTTTTTTTTCCTCATTCATTTCTTGCACTGAACTCCACAAACACCTTATGAAGATGTTATGTATTTTATAGTAACTTTTTCTTCTACCATTTTGCAGCTAGACATTTCGGAGAGTGGACATTTTGGTCGGTCTTCACTTTCTAGGGCTGTTTATGCGTTAATAATTGCTGTTCGGGTTTGAATTAGGTTTAGGTTAGGATGAGGTTAAAGGGGTTAGGATTAGGCATATGCTTAATGCTATGTGTGTGTGTGTGTGTGGCACAGATACAGTGGTGTTACTCTCTAAAGGTAATTCCAGTCCTTTACAAAATGCATTGACTGAGATCATTTCTTTATTGTACTTTATTATTATCATTAGTGTTCATTGTCACCATTATCTGTGAAAGAACAAGGTTTTGCTTTTACCACAAGTTTTATTAGATTATGTATGGGTTTTGCTGCTGGCATGTGATTATGACCTGGACATGTTTTACAGGGATAATCTTACCTATGCATGACACTGCAACTCCAGCTTCTCCTGACAATTTGTAATTTAAAACAGCAGTTTGACATTTGGGAAAACACACGTTTGTTTTCTCGCAGAGAGTAAGATGAGAGGCTTGAATCCAATTTCACATGTGTTTGCTAAACATGAAACTACAGCCAGCTGCTGGTTGGTTGGTTGGTTGGTTGGTTGGTTTAGCGTAGCACAAACACTGGAAACACACAGAAACAGCTAACCTGGCTCTATTCAAAGGTAACAAAATCTCCCCTTCACACAGAAGTATGCTCTGACAGCAGGTGGAGACGAGGCAAAATAATTTTCCTTGACAGACATATTGGCAAAGGTTTTCACTCTAGATGCTGGAGTGTAGTTGTGTTGAAATTTTATACACAGTGCATTGTAATTACAGAAGATCAAATAATAGTGCATTGTAGTGCTGCATAAATTGTTTTCCACTAAGACCAAGCTTTCAAAGACGATCAACAAAAGAGTGACTTTTCTTAGATGTAATGGGATTAGTTGTTTCATCTGATAGAATGGGTTCAGGGTTTTGCAGTGTCCATAGAAAAGACATTTTTTAAACAAGAAGTGCAGGTGGTATAGTTCTAAAAGCCTTTAATTATTAGAGAAAATTATTTCTGTCTCCTGGTACCAAAATTGGCTCCTACAAAATTTTTAGCAGATTTCTGTGCTTCATTTCAGTGACCATGGTCTGCAGTGAAATAGTTTTCCTGCTTAATCTGAATATCACAGCACATTTCCTGATAACATTATACCTATAAATGTATAAACTCCGGTGAAAGTGTAAAGTTTAAATGGTGGAAAATGTGGGAGGAAGGCGACAAAATTAAAGCAGCACCTGCTGCCGTCCAAGCGGTGGAGAGACAATTGATTACGAGTTTGGAGCAGAAAAATGTTCCTGTATTAAACACTGAAACTATTGTTTAGTGCTGAATTATTGTAGTTTGTGATTTTTTAATGTAAAAGAGTTTGGTACCTATTTATATCTGTTTATGTTAAATATGTTAAATTTCAACTTCCAAGTTTCCTTAGCAATGCAAAAGCCATTCTCATCATCAATAGTGTTTACAGCACGTGTCTGACAACAGAAATGAAACGTTAATAATGTAATATCAATAATATATAGGTAGTAGATAGTTTTTTCTTTAACTTTTTTTCCAGTTCTGGTACTGTTAAGGCATCAGAAGCATTTCAAAAGTATAAATTTAAGAGCAATATTGTTAGAAACAGAAACAATACCAAACACTAGAGAGCAAATACCATTACCAATAAGAAAATCTGAATTATGGTTGTGCTAGGGGCTAACATGTTTCAGCTGTTTTCATCTGTTAAATATGAGAGTGGGCATCTCAAGAACACAGAATTGTAAAAATAAATGATCTTTTCAAACAAGAGGGATTTTGTACAAGCATATGTCTGTATTCCACTCAGCCAACACATTCTGGTACAAACCATGTCTTTGTGAGCCCCTAAATAACTGAATTGGCACAAATGGGAACTAATCTGCTATGGCCACCAAAAGTGACACTGTTGGTGCAATAGCTCAAGCACAATGCACTGTCTCATGCAGTTGTGAAAGAAAAATGCTACAGAGATGTTGTTGGCTCACTTCCCATTGAGAACCACTGCTGCTCACGATGAGGATAACTTCCATTATTAATATGTTTCGGATCAAGACAGCCTTGAGTTTCCTAGATCCCACCATTAGATTGAATGACAATAGCCTGGAATTGTAATTATGAAAGCCTTTTTCTTGCCTTGGAGGGAAATATACATGTATGCATGCTTGCATGCGAGTAAAGTCCCCTTCCCCAGGAAATGCACATGTGATGAACTACTTTCGCTAAATAGCCTGCAGCCTGTCCTAGTGGACAGCATGATCTCAAAAGAAGTCTGTTTGCATTGACGGGCCCTCACACATCACAGCATGTAAATGGAGTTTGTGAACTAGAAGAGGAGCAGGGATAAGACAAACTGTTACTATTACAATATCTCAAACTCCTGATATCCCACTATTGTTGTTGTACATGCTGAACATTGTTGTACTTAAAGATGGCTCCCTCTCTAACTTTGCTAATGTGGTTTCACCAGCACTGGCAGTACAGTCAGCTGCTTCTTATTACACTGCCATTAAATGGTCCAAAGGTCAAACTGTGTCCTCGATGCTAATTTCTACTCAATGAGTGATTTTGTTGGGATATACTCTGTGTAGTCTGTACGTAAATAATGTTTACAGCCATTGTTCTTTCTGTGACCGTGAATTTCCGTTTCCTTGTCATGTGTAACGTGATTCTCATGTGTACTGCTTTTTTTATGTCAGGAACAAGGGTAGAAAACCTAGCGTTAAGTATTCAGGGGGACAGAGTGGGATCACAGATACTCAGGCTATAAACAAAACAAAGAATTTACTCTTCTTCTGCTCCGTGAAATCACTGCAGCGAAACCACTCTCGTGGCTTCATCATGCAAGATGTCAATGCAGAGATCAGAAGTGAATGTGGAGGGAGGATGAGGAGTCCGAAAAATATAGAAGCAAATGAGAAAAGAGAGATTTAAGAAAGGGGGTGGTTTGCTTGAAAATCATTATGACCATGGGTTTCTCTTGCACACATGCACACACACACACACACACACACACACACACACAC